TTATTCATAACAAGGAGTCTCCGCATACAGACAAATTTACGTAAGCCAGTATATGCATGTTTAAGAAACACAAACACATTTTTAAACACGCCAGTATATATATATAAGTCACCATTTATCAAGATATATATATGCTGCCAGTCCGAAGCTTGGATTAAGTGTGACGGAAAAAATAGCGTTTGTTTGAAAGCATATCCTATATTTTCTCTGTTGCTATAAGAATGAAAAAGTAACTAGGCAAAAATCACTAGACATGAGTGTTGGGACCCAACTCAGCACCGACATTTAATGACCGGGACCCAACTCGGTACCGACATTTAATGACCGGGACCCAATTCGGTACCAACATTTAATGACCAGGACCCAACTCGGCCCTTTTTCTCAGTTTGGGACCTAACTTGACAACGGCCATTTAAAACAGCAATTTTCAAGAAAATTACTAAATGTATTCCATATTTTACTCATTAACGTCTTCTAAGAGGGATTTTTTAAAAATGTGACATCAAATTCGTGATAAGCGACCACAAAAACTCCTAGTAAAGTATTTTCAATTTATATAAACTCATTCAAAAGCGTAAAACAGAATTTTAATGTTATTTTAACCAAACTTGAAGCAAATTGTAACTTATAGCAGTTTTTTAGTCGTTTCGACGCCGAATAGTGGATTGAAATTTGATGAAAAAAAAACCATAACATGATTTTCGATGTATTTTTTCCTGTAGAATTCAATTCTGAAGTCAAAATAATTTTATTTTTACTCTCTGTATTTATAAATTTCGAAAAAAGGTTTTTTTCTCATAAATCTTAAAATATCTTGCGGAAGGCTATTTTTTTATTGCAGAGACGGATTCAGCGTCCAAAGATACGGCAGAAATAGTATGTCTGTTTAAAAGTACTGACTTTTTTTTTTGTGGGCCTGTGTAATTGTTTTCGTTATTCTGACACGTCAAACTTTCATTCTTATTATCTTTGGGATAAAAACTATTATTTCTACTTTCAAGAAAATTACTAAATGTATTCCGTATTTTATTCATTAATGTCTGCTAAGAGTGATTTTTTAAAAATGTGACATCAAATTCGTGATAAGCGACCACAAAAACTCCTAGTAAAGTATTTTCAATGTATATAAACTCATTCAAAAGCGTAAAACAGAATTTTAATGTTATTTTAACCAAATTTTAAGCAAATTGTGACTTTTCGCGGTTTTTTAGTCGTTTTCACGCCGGATAGTGGATTGAAATTTGATGAAAAAAAAAAAAACCGATACCATGATTTTCGATGTATTTTTTTCTGTAGAATTCAATTCTGAAGTCAAAATTATTTTATTTTCACTCTTTTTATTTTTAAATTTCGAAAAACCCTTAAAAACCTAAGAAAATGAGGTTTTTTTCTTATAAACCCGAAAATATCTTACGGAAGGCTATTTTTTTTATTGTAGAGTCGGATTCAGCGTCCAAAAATACGTCAGAAAAAGTATGTCTGGTTAAAAGTACTGACATCTTTTTTTTGTGGGTCTGTGTAATTGTTTTCGTTATACTGACACGTGAAACTTTCATTTTTATTATCTTCGGGATAAAAACTATTATTTCTACTGTTGTAGTAGAGGGTTGGAATTCCCAGTCGCATAGTGGAGCATATGGCTGTTTGCGATTCGCCTCTCCACGCTCTAGTCTTGTCATATGCGCGTCTTTCTCGAATCTACTATTATTGTCGTCGTCAAAGTTTTTCGCATGATTTTTATTCCCCGATCTTAGTTTATTTCGTAATAATGCCTGATTCCTTTCAGGTTTTCTCTCGCTTTCAGATAAATTTCCAGTATTATTTTGTTCATCTAAATCACTATCAACTTTCCACTGTTCTCTCGGTTCCCTTTCTCTTGAATTCAAATTTTTAACCCTCGTCTTTGCGAACCATAACGTGTTGGATGCATAAAAAAAAAAAATTTTTATTTTGACGACAAAAGCCAACCCCACTCTTAGCACCAAACTTTTACGTGGGAAAACGGTGGCTTAGAGTGCACGTAAGATAGTAAGAACGTCTTATATTCGATAATCCTTTATTACTTACATTGGTGAGAAAAAAGTGTATTATCGATTGACTCCTCTCAATTCTCAAGACAGACTCTTCTCAATTCTTTCGACTGACTGTTCTTATCTTCCCTGCTTGTCTATCTTTTAGGGCCCAAATTAGGAGGAGCGCACAGAAGTACTTCTATATGCTATCGTACGTAATGTTATCATGTATTATGGTGTATGGTGCTATATATTATGTACTTAAGTTTATAAACCAAAACTCTGGGTGCTCGATCCACTATAATTTGAACCAATCGTCTTACATATAACTAAACCAGTTGATGATTAAGGGGATTTATTTGATGTTCTATCATTTGTCAGTACACTGATTGGAGAAAAAAAATTAAAAATTTGTTGAATTAGTGAGTCAATGTGGAAATCGTATTTCGAAGTTAATTTTTGTCATATCTTGTAAATGCTAGCAAATACCATAAAAATAAAAATTCTAGCATTCAGTTAGAAAAATTGCAGTCTTTTAAGTATATTCTGACACGTGAAAAATTTGGTGAAAAGAACTAATGATGGCATTTATTGCCAACTCCAGCCGGATTAGAATTTTTGATTCGTTCCGGATTTAGATTATGCATCGGTTTAGATCAGTTCCGGATGTAATCCAGATGATTCATCAAAGCCGAATATTATCCGGACCCGGACGGGAACTACCACAGTAATAGAAAGTAATAAGATATTCTGTGTCCACAAATATTGGCTTAGTATCACTTTTTTAAGCATTGTGTGCTGTTATAGTTTGTTTATTTAAAAAATTTTTGAACATTCTAAATATGTTGTCGAATATGTTATCAGTAAGTATAATACTACTAGCGCTTCCTCCCTGGGCTTCGTCCAAGATGCATTGAATAGAACACTGAAGTTGTTAACATGTAATATAAAACATTTTCAGTTAAAAATTTCACATTTATTCCTGACACTTTTCAAAACAAAATATTCGGAATCCATGCAGTTTATTTTGTCAAATAATAAGCTGTAAAAAGTAAAAAAAGCATAATTATGCTGAGAAGTACCGTGCGTTCCTTACGCCATAAAATAACTGCCGGACCTACAGGGCTGTTGATTTGCACTTTCTCCCGTTATGATAAATAAAAAGGGCTATTTGTTAAAACTCTAAATATTAAAAACTGACAAAAAATATATAATAATAATTTGTTTTATCCAACCTTACAACTTTGTTACCAGAGCGACTAAGTTCTGGAGCTTAATCTCTCCATTTTTTGTCACAATGAATACAAATACACATTATTCTCCCTATTTAAAAATCTGGATGATTTAAGTGATTACTATCAAAGTTGAAATAGAAATCCGATCTCTCACGTAATAGATTCTTTATTTGTCAAATTTGACGCTGCTGCTTCAATCTCGATGAATGTTCTGCGTCAGTTTCCGTCAGTTTTTTTGACGCCGAAAATTCTAAAAATTTGAAGAATTTGAAGTTGTCCTTCCAATTCATTCTCTTGTGACTACAGGCATAGTTCGAACTTTTGTGAGCCCTAAAGGCTGTTTTTCTGCAACTTTGTTAGGTTGTAATGTATTTGTTGCCAAGGTAGTTCAACGTCCAATAGCCCTAAAAAGGACCGTCAAGCTAAACTCTTTCTTGACTAAAGTTTCCAGCCAACGTAATTGCCTCTATACCTTAGGATGATCTTGTCTGACCTGTTGTTATAGCACCAGACTGATCGAGAAGAAAACTACAACATCTAAAGCGTTAGAGCTAGTGGAAGAGCTCTTCCCGACGTCTCCCGGTGTTACGCCGGAGATGTTGGTGTCTAAAGCACCTTCTTTTTTTGCCGAGCTCAGTCGTTTTGGTGATCTAAGGTGGGTAGATTGGTTCGTGATACTTGCCTGTTAGAGACTGTCCCGTTTGCTAAAGTTTATTTTTCCTCCATAGCTGTTAGGTTCGCCCAGTGCAGACCTCGGAGAGCATCGATGGTTCCTGGTTGAATGCTTATTGGGATCCCAAAACGTCACGTCTTTCGCAATATATATAGCTAAGATGGGGTAAATTAACACAGGCCTCACGAGGACGAATCTGTTTTGCTATTTTTTTACATCTACAACAGCTGTAATACTACAAAAGCTGGCAAATAACATGTTTTCCGGGAAATAATGGTCGTGCAACTAATTTTTTTTTCACCTCAATCATTACATGAAGCTTAAAACCTTACTTTGAAAGTATGAAACGCACATTGAACCTGTACAAATACCTCTCACTGCTATCTATATGTAGTTGTGCAAACAGGACTTTTGTACAGGTTAAATGTGTGTTTCACACTTTTGAAGTAAGGTTTTAAGCTTCATGTAATGATTGAGGTGGAAAAAAAATCAGTTGCAGTACCATTATTCCCTGAAAAACATGTTATTTTCCAGCTTTTGTAGTATTACAACTGGTGTAGACGTAAAAAAAAAAACATGTCCCAGTAAGGCCTGTATTAATTTACCCCGACTTGGCTGTATATATTGCAAAAGGCACGTGGCTTCTTGGCAAGGTAGTTGAACGTTTGGTGGCCCTAAAAAGAACAGATTAGATTGATTGTTAAATAGGAAACGTAAATATTTATGATGGCCCTGAAAAGGACCAGTAGCGCTACTTCTAGCCATTCCTTATTATTCTAGATGATGGAGAGCTGGCTGTGTGGGTAGCTTTACTCTAACCTTTGGAGTCACTGGGTACGGAGACCGTGCTGTGGAGGGAGGTACGCTGCTGACTAAAGTATATCTCGCCTTCAAATCGTTCCCTGGAAAACCAACCGCTCATTGATAGTCAGGAAAGTGGGCCTGGAGAATACCTTCTTTTTGCACATGCCGTTGCCACGAACCACTGAGGAGGCTGTTGTAGCTGCTCGAACTCAGGGTTTTTCTTGGTTTGAGATGTAAGCATTCAGAACGCCTTTGTATTGATGGCACTTGTTAATCATGGTGGTTGAAGATGAAGTTCAACGTAAGTCGCTTGTCCATTAGAGAACAGTGTCGTCAGTAGCTAGGATATCCAGCTGCACGACTCCCAGCTCTAGGCTTTATGCACTGTCGGTGAACGGCTGTGTATTTGGTATGTTGCTTGAGCCCATAACCACACTTATTTAATTCAACTGCAGGTTGTTTCCATTTTACTTTGACGCCACCTAGCGGATTTGAATGAACTAAAACCCAAAGCTAGCGTATTTTTGCAATACTTTTAGCTTATTTATTGCTTTTGTTATAAATTTTTTCAAGATAAAAACTATACTAAAACCATCTAGGAAGCGTCAAGAATTGTTATGCAAAATTTCAGCAAAATTGGTTCAGTAGTTTTCGTGGTTAGCGATTACACCGGTTTTAGTGACTTTGCTTCATATATTAGTATAAGACATGAGTGATTTGTCTAAAAAATCTGTTTTTTTTTTTTTTTTATATTTGTTTAATACAAACATTTAGTACTTATCTTAAAAATAATAACTCACCAAATGTTTCTTAAGTAGGTCCTGGCAAGAAATTAAAAAATGTAGGTATAGCACTAGAAAAAAAGAATGTTTTTTTTTATTACAAAAATTTTTTAAATATTTTTTTCTAGACGTATTTTCAAGAGAAAAAAATCATTCAGTTAAACAATTTAACGTAAGCTCTTATGAGGCTACTAAATAAATTTTATTAAATGTATTTTTTGTAGACTTTCCATCTGATTTTCATTTTTACTCGTTTTTTCTCTTTTCAAAAACTGTTTATTATTAAATAAATTTTTGATTTTTTAAATAGTAGTTCGAATACAATTTAATTACTAAACTCTATAAAAGTATATTTTAAATTGTGTATGGCGGAGTCATTTTTCTCTGACCCTATAGTATTAAGCGCCGAAACGCGTCATCAAGGTGGAATCTATTTTTATTTACAAAGAGTTAATAAAGGTCCGGGTCTGTGTGTTTCATGTACTACGTGAGAGTAATCGGATACAAGAGTAGCGACAAGGGGAGAAAAGAAGACAAGAGAGTTGCGGGAACACATGCATCAAGAGTTACGGCGTACGAAAACACACACACACATGTACTTAGTAAATAAGGATTTTTAGTACCTCGCCACATGTGTATATATATTTTTAATCGCCGCGCCGCATATAAGTACCAAAAGTATCGTCGTCTATTGTTGTAAACAGCGCCGCGTCCGAGAGTATGTGTATGAGCAGGAGTATATGTGTAGGAGTAGGAGTGGCTAGTATGACTGTCGATACCTATGTACGAAGATATAGGGCGGTAATGTGCAAGGCTGCACTAATTGGTGGGCCTAACGCGACACTTCTGTAGTAGCATTTGAGCGAACCACAGCTCCCGAGTTTTTCGCGATTTCGGTAGTTAAGAGAGAGAGAGAATCGAGAGAGAAGGAGAAAACCATGAGGAAAGCCAGTGACCACGATTAACCAGCCGTACCCGACCTTGCGCCCGACGACCGAGGAACCATCACCGCCGTCATCAGTTGTCAACTGCGAGGTCAAGGTCACCAACTAAATTAGTTGCTGAAGAAGAGAGTACGATGGTAAACCCCGAGGTAAAGTAGCGTGTAGTGTCGTCACGAGAAGTAGTGCGGAGGAGCGTGTGTGTGTGTGTATCGGCCGTGTGTAGCCAGGGCGAGCCGCGGGAGCTGGTCTCTGCGATCGTGCCTCAAAAAGATCGTTAGAGCGAGAGCGGGTGATAGAGAAGCGTGATTTTCGGAATTCATGCCATGGCGTAGCGCCAGATCGCGACGAGAACTTCTGGGCCTAGATGCCCGCGTAAGTGTAATAACGAATAAAGTGAACTTAATAATCCGAGAAATCTGCATTTCGTGTCGTTATTTTTAGGCCATTGCCAGATAGCGTTTTCTTTCAGGTGCAGTGCCATTTGTGTCGTTTCCAGTGCAGACATCGGTGATAATTTTAGTGTCTTTAAGCGTTGCTTCGGGACCACCCTGGCCGGGACACTCTACGTGTTGCAGGGCGAGAAAACGCAACGTTACATGTGGAATTAAATGGTTTTTTTTCTCGAAAATGCGCTTGGAAAAAAATATTAAAGGAATTCGTACGCACATATAATGTACTTGAAAAGAAGTTAATTTTTTAGCATTATCTAACATTTTTCATTTTTGCTAGAACCTCCATAAAATTACGTTTAACATTTAATTCTTTGAAAGAAATTTTTTTTTGCTCTGCATGATTTACTGCACATTGTATAACATGTAACTTTTTTACTAATAACTTTTAATTTTTTCTATTTTATCTCATCCCTAATTTATTTATTGCAATTTTTTCGTACCGAGTCTATTTTGGCATGTTATGAATGATAAAATTTAAAAAAAATGCAAAACCCTGCAATATTGACTTTAAGAGCACAAGTGCAGCAGACAGACTCTTTTTCATAGTCTGATCTGGGATTAATCCAAACCTGTGCATAAAACGGATCCAGGACGGATCAGAAATCTGGATCCATTCCAGATCTTATCGTCAGGATCCCGGATGTTCTTTCTACTCAGGTGCTTAAGATTTTTTCTAATTTCAAAATAGTTTGTAATAATATAAAAAAAAGTCACCGAAAAGCTAGTTTTATTTTTGTTATTTAGAGTTATCTATCGATTGTTAATGGTCTCCAGATGAGGTACTTTTTTTTAATTACTGACTAAATTAATTTTTACGCCTAGTAGTATACTTAAGACAGTAAAATATTAGTTATAAATTAACACAACACTATAGTTAATTATCGAAATACTTATACACAATTAATTATGAAGGATAAACGGCAAAACGCGAAACAACTGCAAATTTATCAAAAAAGTATTTATCTTTTCCTTAATTAATATCATAGATTGACCATATGCAAATCCTACAATATTAGTCTTTAACATTCATAATAAAATAATACTATAAAATTTTTGATAGAATGACACTAAATACAAATTTATAAAAACAACAGCAACAAACTAAAACATCTTCATTTTTCTCTTATCGAGTGCACGTTAAAGTGCCTCACCTGTAATTTCTCTGATGCTCTTCTATTGATTTTCGACGCCCTGGTTCCACTTCGTCTTATTACTATCAAATCTGCCAAAAAGCCTTGGGTTACATCCCAGATTCGGCAACTTATGAAGCACAGAGACAGATTGTACAAGCGGGCCACGAAATTGAACTCTGTGGTACTGCTGAATGAGTTTCGCCGCTCACGCAGTAATGTTCGAAATCTTCTTGACTCAGCAAAAAATCGGTATATTGCCACTAAACTTAATTCTGCACCGGACGTTAAAAAAAAGTGGGGTGAGATACGTAAACTCGGATTAACAGGGAACAGACTACCATCACCTCTGTCATGTTTCTCACCAAATGAACTGAACCATTTTTACTGTGGCATTACCAATGCTGGCCCTCCACTTCGCCCAGAAGACTTGCTTAAAGCTCTAGCTTGTCCGCTTGATACCAGTAAACCTATTTTCAGCCTAATGCCCGTTACTTCTCATGAGGTGCGCAGAGCTATTCAGCGCTGTAATTCGAAATCTGGTGGAATTGATGGGCTTACCCCTGCTATGCTAAAACTTTCAATTAGCTGTATTGTTGAACCCGTGACTTTTATTATTAATAAGTCGTTTCTTGAAGCCCGTTTCCCTATGTAATGGAAACGCGCTCTTATCACTCCACTTGCAAAAATCAGATCACCACTCTCACCATCTGATACGCGCCCAATCGCTAAGACACCCGAACTCTCTAAAGTGACTGAGCGTCTTGTTCATCTCCAGCTATACAATTATCTAGAACGCAATAAACTTTTGAATCCACATCAAACAGGTTTTCGTCCAAAGCACAGTAATCAAACTGCACTTCTTCGCATTCTAGATGATACCCGTACCGTGATGGACAAACGTCAAATAACTATATTAGTACTATTTGATTTTAAAAAAGCCTTTGATACGATTCCGCACGCTCGCCTGATTGAAAAGCTTCGCAAACTGAACTGTGATAATAATGCGCTGGAGTGGTTTTATACCTATTTACTTGATCGTTCCCAAGCCGTGAGGGGTGATAATAATATCCTCTCTGACTGGTTAAATTCTTCTGCTGGTGTGCCGCAGGGCAGCGTATTGGGCCCTTTACTTTTCTTAATCTATATTAACGACCTAATGCAGGTTCTTCACCACTGTAAATACACTATGTATGCCGATGACTTACAAATTTACTACTCTTGTCACCTGGATGAATTTCGCTCTGGTGTCGACAAAGTGAGCTTTGATTCCTCGGCTATAGCGCATTGGGCAAGTGAAAATGGTCTTACACTCAGTTTGCCTAAAATTATACCCATTATTCTTGGTAGTGCTAATCTTGTGAGTCGTGTAGACTTGTCAAACGGTCCATATGTGTCCATTGACGGTGTCTGCCTTCAATATGCAACCGAAGTTAAAAATCTAGGCCTTTGGCTCACTAAAAGCCTCAATTGGGGCAAACATGCTACATACGTTGCCAGCAGAGTCTACCGCTCACTATATGGCCTAAAACACTGCAAACATGCTTTGACTTTTTCTTTAAAGAAACAGCTTGTTGAGAGCTTAATATTTCCTTTATTTGACTATATGGCAGCAGCATACCGTATGATTGACTCCGCGGCTAACCAGCGCTTGCATACTGCCCTAAACTCATGTGTCCGCTTTGTATAAGGCACAATAGGGTGGAGATCAAGAGTTACACCTTTTCGTATTGCACTTGGCTGGTTATCAGTACCAAGACGCCGTGATTACTTTTTGGGTATGGTCTCGTTTTCTGTTCTGGCTCACAGATACCCCCCGTACCTAGCTAATAGTTATCTTATTGCTAGCTCTCATGCTGACCTCAGGCGCTCTTCTCGCCTCCCAGCGCAGTATCTGCTTTGCCCCATTTTTCGGTCAGAAGCGTTTAGACAATCTTTTCTTGTTCAATCGTCAAAACTCATGATTCAAATCCATCAGAATATTTTTGAACCA